CTATTCCTATCAAATTTTTGTTTTAGCAATAAATTCACATTACCAACTTTCTCAACACTTAACTTGACTCTAATTAAAGTCTAAATCATCTGCCCAAAGAGGATAATGGAAACCCTAAAATTTTAGGGTTTCTCGATTATAATTTACACATTAAGATTTAACCATCAATACTCCAAAAATTGAAAAAGATTATTTACTCACCTCTAACAAATAATTTCTCCTTGTAGATTTGTTCTTCCCTTCACTTGAAATCCTTCAATTGATCTTTTCTGTATAAGAAACATATGAGAAATAAGTTTCTGTTTTATTACGACTAATCGTCGACTGAAAATTGAAAAGTTAACTCTATTAATAAAAAAAATTAGGTTATTTATCAATAAGTCCTCTGCACTTCTCATTCTTTATTAAAGAGTCCATCCACTTATAAAAATACTTAAAATAATCTCTCTTTTTTTCGTGTATTACAATCTACCCAACTTATAAAAAGTTTCATCCTTGAAACTTGATTTACCTTCATTTTCGAATAACTGAGGATGTCGTTTCTTCATATCATCTTCCATTTCTCAAGTTGCTTCTCTTGGTGTATGATTGCTCTATTGGACTTTTATAAAGGGAATAGTTCTATGCCTTAGGACTTGCTCTTTTCGATCAATTATTCGAATAGGATATTCCAAGTATGTTAAATCTTCTTGAACTTCTAAAGGTTCATACTCTATCACGTGGCTTGGGTTAGAGACATACTTTCTCAACATAGACACATGAAAAACATTGTGCACACTAGATAGCTGAGGTGGTAAGGCTATCCTATATGCAACTTCTTCCACCTTATCAAGAATTTCAAATGGACCTATATAACGTGGGTTTAGCTTTCCTCGCTTCCCAAACCACATAACACCTTTTATGGGTGACACCTTTAAAAAAATAAAATCCCCTTGTTGAAATTCTAACTCCCTTCTCTTTTTATCTGCCCAACTCTTTCGATGATCTTATGCTGCTTTAAGTCTCTCCTTAATCACCTTGATCTTGTCTACAGTCAGTTGCATCATTTTTGGCCCTAGGAGTTTTGTTTCTCCAACATCATCCCAACATAAAGGGGTCTACACTTTCTACCATACAAGGCCTCAAAAGGAGCCATCCCAATACTAGATTGGTAACTATTATTATAAGCGAAACCTACACCCAACGTGTGAGGTATTATCCACTTTGACCCGAAAGTCTTACGGTTTTATCCTACAAAAGGCGCCTCACAAATTTGGGATTAAGTCTCTACATATATATATCATTTCTTATCCACACATCCTTCTGATGTGGGATTGGGAGGGTTACACAATAAAAGAAAACTTTAAATTTTAGATAAAAAGATTGAATAAATAATACTTGAAAAAAAAATTATTTATATATGTAAAATAAGAATGTGAAGTTTGGATAGCTTGAGCTCTAAGTGATAGAATTAAAATTATTATTATTGATTTGATTTGATCTGATAATCAATAATCTAATTGAAAGGTAACAAGTCAATATTTTTATATATTTTTATATAGTAAATTAAGATAATTGAACTGACGTGGATATTGAGACTTCAAATATTATTGTAATTATTGTTTTATAATAAATTCATATATTTTATTAGGTTTTTTTTAATATAACTATATTTTTAAATAATGATCATTCATGAACAGTCGAATCAAATATTCAAGTGAAATATATGTTTTATGAGTCCATTGTTTTATGACATATTTGATTAAAATGAGAATTACATTAATTATCAATTATGGGGTCAAAGCTTTCTTTTTTTTCTTTAATATGTAATTGAAACAAATAATTACTAAATTATTTTTTCACATAAGATACTGTAATTCGAAAATTAAAAAAAAAATTACAAGTATCAAAATTTGAATATCAAATTTATTAAATATCATTTTTTATGAATGATTCTATAAATTTATTTCGTTAAATCCAAATTTACAATTATTTAATTATTGAGTTTAACATTGTCTCTTCTAAAAGCTATACCCTTATCCTTTAGAAGGTAATGAATCGGGCAAGAGAGTACCTTATCAAAACTCCCCTTAAATACTATCATATGTCAGTTATTTCTGCAAAATTGCTAAGAAGAATCTACAGTCCTAAAAGATCTTTGTAGGGGTTAGGGCACAAGGGTTTAGGCCAACAGCTTGACAGCATGACCACACATTTGCATCAATCAAAAGAAACCCATGTAGATTTTTCTTCTTATCATATAAAATCAAGAAAGGGATTACATATTATTGCTCTTTTCATTTCATAAATAAACCTATGATTAAAGTCTTTTTTTAAAGAGTACTAATAGAGTAGTATCATGGGGGAACCAAGAAAAGTTAGGGCTTTTTAAAAGGTTTATGATAAAAATATGAAGAGTGATCGAATGAATCAACTTTAAATATTTTACTTAAATATATATATTTTTATATTTGATTGATAAAATGAAAAACCCCAAAAGAACTTACCTTGAGTTATCACAGCTTCACTAGCACATAAATTAAAATAAAAAAATTTGTATCATAACAAATTTTATGAATATTAATAATATCCGAATTCGAAGATTTTAATTTAATAATAAATACATATATTTTTGCATTTTAAAAAATCATATTTCTATAAGCTCCGATAAGCATTTAAAGGATAGGATATATAAATGTATAGTACCCAAGCAAGACCCATATAGCCTTAAAAAAGTTTAGTGGTAAGTGATGCTATCGGCTTGGAATTAGCATCTCTAGTCTATAATTTTATGGTTATTGTTCCAAAATGGTTACAATTATAGACCCATTTACAATGGTTTGGGCTTGGAATCCACAGCCTTAAATCCAAATTTTGAATGGACTTCGGCTCAAATAGTTCAATATAAGCCCATTTCGCAACACTATAGGCTTATTAATCAAAGCCCAAAACAAAATCTCACCTAATTAGCCCAATTTAATGTTTTGATCGTGAAAAAAAAAATTTAAGAACTCTAACGGTTGAGATTTGATTTTGCTTTTTTAGATATTATATAATATTATAAAATTTTAAATTTTAATTTTAATTTATATTAAATTTATATTTGATTTAAATTAAATTAAATTAAATTTTATTGACTCTATTCCATTTAGTTTATTAGATTTAATTTTTATATATTATTTTAATATAAATTTAATATATTTTTATAAATTTTAGTATAAAAGTATTATTTTTTATAAATATCTAAAAAATATATAATTAAAATATATATAATTTAATTGGATTTGATTTTTTTATTTTTTTATTTTTTATTCGAATTTAATATATAAATTTAATATTTTAATATAATTTAAATCAAATAAAAAAATAAATTCAAACCGAACTAAACATTATTATTTTAAATTAAGTTTTGGATTTTTTTATTTTTTTATTTCGCCATTAATAGAATAGGTACAAAGGCAGGAAAAGGGAAAACACTCTTTTCAGTTTCAGCCATGGATCTTCTCTGCAAAGCCTATTCCAACACTACAGACAATGAACCCGAACCTGAACCCAAAGCCAATCGCGTAAACCCGAATACCCATTTCCCACGGTGGACTTCAGAAGAGAAAAGAAGCTCTGGTTCCAGGAAGATACATATATAAGAGAGTGAGCATTTTCGTTTGGTTTCCCGAACCGATGAACCGAACCCGAATCACCATGATCCCCATTTCATCACTTAGCCAGGTAAAAAGAGGGAATGAGTAGTCTTGTAACTGATGAAATAATTGGTATTTACACTTAGAAGCTCAATTTAATTTGTTTTTTCAAATTGAGTGCAGAAATTTTTTATTGAATTTGGTGATGACTATTTGAACAAGCTCAAAGAGAAAGTCTATGTGACAAGAAAAAGTTAGAATTTTTCATGCAAAGTTGGTTGTCATTACTACCTTTTTGGAAAGGAGGCTAAGGTTCAATTTTGACTGTAATTCGATGATCTTATTCAAAGATTAGTGCTTTTATTTTGACTGTTGTCTACGTCGTGTGCCCATTATATTTTTTATGGATTTTATATTGAGTTTTTTTGTTTTGTTTTGGCATTAATATGATAATATCTTACTAATCTATTCTATGGCTTAATTTAGAATTGCTTGCATTTTTTTTTTTTATTTACACAATTAAAAGATTGGGACTTCAAACAGGGTCAGGGAAGTGTAATGCAAATTGATATGAGTCTTTGAATGATAGAAAGAAAATGTTAACAAGGTTTGTTCTGGTGATTGTCACCTCTCATATGGATGGTCTAGTCAAATCAGAGAGAGAGAGAGCTTCATTTAATTTAGATATTTGTATATCTGTATCTTTGATTGTATTTGGTGTCTAATCGAAGGACAATAACAAAATTTGATGTAATCCCACGAATTATTGAAAGAAGTATTCAATGAAGTCCAACATCATTTAGGAAAAAAAAAAACATTGGATATTCCTATATACATCAATAACAGTAAGGCTTATCTACGTTGTCTTACTTAGAAGCTGTTCACCTGTGTCTAGATTAACTTTTACTATAATCATAGAAATTTATCTCTTTGCCAGCTGATACAGTAATTCTTGTTCTCAGTTCTGGGAAACATTTCAGATTTGGATCTACTGCATAATGTTCTTTCATCAATGTGGCATAAACAAAAAAGGGCTGTACACAACTAAGTCAAATTCCTGAAAAGTTTTGACCCAAAAAAATAAAATTCCTGAAAAGCTTTCCGTAGTTCTGCATGGCCATGCAAAAACTGTTAATGCTATTTACAGGTCACCAACTTATTATGCTCTTATTTTTTTTGAAAACTGTTGACTTTGTATTTTTATCTCTTCGGTTGTAAGGATGTTGTTTGAGTGCATTTTTTTATTGGTCCAAACTTGTGAGTGCCACTTTAACTGTTTAAGCTCAGTTTTCAGTTCATACATCATTCTTTTTTATGTTCCACTGGCCTTATTGATCCGTTCTTTTTAGATACTTTACAGTTCATCTACTTGCTTCTACTGAGATGGACCAAACAATCTGCATATGGAATGTATGGAGCAGAGATCAGAGGAAAGCTGTGTGTTTAGCTTTCACAATGCAGCTGCGAAAGATGTTAAGTGGTCACAGCAGGGGCTATTTGTGCTTTCTTGTGGATATTACTGTTCATGATGTTAAGTGGTCACAGCAGGGGTTATTTGTGCGTTCTTGTGGATATGACTGTTCATCAAGTTGATTGATGTTGAAAGCGCAGAATTTTAAAGATGATCAGGTTGTTGGAGTTATTAATTTCCATCCAGAAAACTCAAACCTATTCCTTTCTGGGGGATCAAAGGGCAGACTCAGATTGTGGGATGTTAGAACTGGCAAGGTGCGCATGAATACATTCGTGGTCAGGGTCCAATTCTTGATGTTGAATTCACCATTGATGGGAAGCAATTTGCGTCTTCAAGTGATGTTTATGGGGGTAATGTCAGTGAAAATTCTATTATCGTTTGGGACATCTGAAGACAGGTTCTGACGTCTAATCAGGTTAGGACACCTTTCAACATCTTTTAGTCTCCATCACTGAGATTTTTATGGCAGAGCTATTTCCACCTCATATTGCTTCCTCTTACTCTCATTTACAGCTTTTTTTTTTTTTTTGTTGCAGAAAATTAGCATATGGCTACTCTCTAACCTAAATATATTGCCTTTTGCTATACTGAATTTATAGTATAGCCTCCTATTATGGTGGTTAACAAATCACAAACCAAAATGTGTAGATAGTTTAAAATGGATTTCAAATCAGTTTTATTTTCATGGAAATTGAAACTCAGTTCTTCCATAGTAACTCTGTTTTATCTCACAAATGATTTTGTTTTTGTTTTAACTAGAACTCTATGTGGTACGTAGGTAGAATCATGGCTTAAGTCTCTACTAACATTTAATTAACACACTTATGTTATTGAACCTTAATAATCTGTAAGTACAAAATTTTCAACAATCTTTTAAAAAGAAGTAGCAACAATTGAGGATGCATGCTTATCTATTACTGCGTGGTCTAGTTCTTGGATCATACTATTTCAGGAATTGTCATTTCAGTATTATATGTTATTCCTTTATTCCATTCCCTTTCCTTCATACATCAAACTGCCTTGTTTCTATTTCTGACCAATGATTTAAGGAGAAGGATGAAAGCATCTGTTGACTCAGTCAGGGGGTTCGGGGGCTAATAGCCCTTATATCTTCTGTGCTTAGCCCTAACCTATATAGCACTTCTAGTTTAGCTTTATGGGTCATAACTGCTTTGATTAGAACATTTGTGTCAATAGTTTCTCAGCAAAAATCACAAAAGTCTCATGAATTAAAAGAAAGAATTCTACTTTAGCAAGAGTTATCCTTAAACTATTGAACAGAGATCCAGAGCCGCTGCATAGAAAACCTATGCATAAACTTTAAATTAGTGCCTGTGCAAAACTTGACAAATGAACCATTGGTTTGTTTGTTGACTTGGCATTTACTTTGCTTTTCAAGTTGACAGTTCTTAGGAGAGCTGTTTGAATACTGCCTCTTGAGTTATATCAACTTAAGTCGGGTCTAATTAGTTGCATGACTTTGGAATTTGTCAAGTCCTGTCATTAAAAACACACATGCCTTCTCAAATCATTGCTTTTTTGTATGGATGAGAAAAGATGCATAATCACTCGGCCATGTCAAAATACTATACCCCTTGTGTAAGATTTGATGTTCTGTTGGACTAAAGTCATATTCTTCAATTTCTCGTCATTTCTATTGACCTTTCAAATATAAAAGGAGATGCATGAATATCCATGGCCCTTTGATATAGATCTGTCCCAATTATATCCTTTTCATTTGGCCTTTTGACATGGATGTTGCAATTCATAACAAGCATGATAAGATATATGGACAAAGTTTTAACATATGATATGGATTAGACAATACACCTAGATGCTATTGTCTTGTCTTAGTGACAATGGTAATGGTAGTGAACTTTTAGAATATAAATGAGTAGACTTGTTGTATGTAGAACATTAATGAATACATATAAGGTGACAACTTTGCTTATTGTTCTTGTCTATCTTGTTGGGTAGTGCTCATGTTTTCTCTGTTTCAGGTTTATAAAGAAGCTTACACTTGTCCTTGTGTTAGGTACCACCCATTTGATCCCATGTTTGTGGCCCAATCAAATGGAAATTATATTGCCGTTTTCTCTTCAATTCCCCCCCTTCAAGCTAGACAAGTTTAAAAGTTATGAAACCCATGGAGTGTCAGGATTTCCAATCAAGTGCAATTTCAGCTTGGAAGGGAAGAAGCCTGTCCCTGATTCCCCATATGATTCAGTATACTTCAATAACTCTCAATCTTCATGCTTGTCAGGATTTGAATTCTGATTATTAAAATTAAGAGTCCAATATTTTACCAAGGCTAAACTTTCTATAAACTAAAGTGTCTTTCAATAAAAGGAAAGAGTACTATTACTGCTTGAACATTAGTTGTTTAGTACAGCTCAATTTTCATTCCTTCAAGGTTTTCTTTTTTTTTTTTTTGGTATTAGAAAAATAAATAAGCATTTGCAAAATGGGTCCAATGTAAAGCTTCCAAGTTCTCCTAATATCCTTCAACACCACCTTACAGAAAGTCAGAAACACAAACCATAAGTCAAAAAGGAAAATAAAAAAAAATTTTAATGAAAAAATCCTGGCATGCTTGTATCACCAATTTCCTTAGCACTATCTATACAAACCAACATTTTCTTCCAAAACATTCTTTTGTCCACAAAACCCCTCTTAAAACTATGTCTATTGGCCAAAAAAAAAAAAATGTAAAACCTACATTGTCATTAGATATGATAATTGTTGTATTCATATTACGAGTGTTTTATGTTAAACGCGAGTAAAACAAAAAATTATTATATAATAATTTATGTCTGACATGTCAAACATAGAATATATTTTTTTTATTAAATCTATATGCAGTTGTTAATTTTAAATAGTATCACTTTTATATTTTTTTATATTATTTTTATGTCATATTATCATATCATATTTAAAATTATAAATCTAATCATAATATATTCTAAAATTTCTTGATATCCCATTGAAGTGAGGAACACAGTGATGCAGCCTATCTGCCAATGTGCTTAATTTTTTTTTCAACTTTGCATATGAATATGTTCCCCACCTTAACTGGTCTCCAAAGCCCTTGTTATCATCTCTGTCTAAAGTCTAAAATCACTATCTCTTTCTCCAAAAACAAAAACAACTGAAAAGTTGAACCCGAACGAAAAAAAAGGATGGACCAAGTAAACGAAGCAAAGGATGAAGGCTGAGTAATGCCCCTATTGCAAATGACTTCAATCATCATCTAAAAGAGATTTACTTTATATTGTTGCTCTTCGCGTACTTGTGGTCAAGTGGGTGCTCGCTCAATGAGGGACCCCATTGGCTTGCCTAACCGGAGACACGAAACGATGGGCTGAAAGGTTTTACCTAAGCAAATTGATCTCTCTACGATTGGACATGTAACCTCCCTGCCTAGTCCCCCCTTCCCTTCGTGAACTTCAGCTAAAAGATTTTTTGATTTAATCAACATTGGTTAATTCAATCGATTAATTCGTTCGTTTCAATTATAAAAGATTCTAGATTCGAACACTAACGAGACATCAGTTAAAATACTGAAGCAAATGAAATAAGAATTAAAGATTATTGCTTTGGAATAATAAAATTTTAAACATATTTAATCAATTAATCTCACTCCTTTTTTTATTGAGGAACGTTTACATCTCAAATTATACAAATGAGTCAATCTTATTAACCTTAATATGACATCTTTAATACAAGAGACTTCTGCAAAGTTCTATGTAATATGATCTTTCTCTATTTCCACACATGATATATTTTGGTCATACATGAGTCGATCTTATTCAATATCTATTGCTAAGCTTTGCATTACCTTTTTTTTTTATCTAGTTTTTTGATACTTGTCTTTCCTTTTTGATCCATCTTTTCATGTTCTTTTTATTTTATTTTTGTTTTCAACTTTAGGTTAGTGTTTATCCTATCCTACATGCTAGACCATAATCAAAAAGTTTTGTCCCTTGAGTCTTCCAATCCAAGCCCTAAAAAGTGAGCCGACAAACTCATTAATTTTGTTCGAACTGCCGTATGATTTATGGCCACAACCAAGTCACCTGTTTGGCTGAATTTTTTTTTTTTTTTGGTTTAGAGAAAATAAACAAATAACCCTTTTGTTTCATAAAAAAAATGTGAAGTTGTCAAAGCTCCTATTTGGGAAGGATTCCTTACTAATGTGTTACTTTTGTAGGCCATTACACAGTCAACAGAGTGCTGGCATTTTATTTATATTTTATTCCTATTCTTTATATTAAAAAAATATTTTTTAATTTAAAATATTCACCACAAACATGATTATAAGTATCCCATAGCCCTCAATTAAACAAGAATTCTTTATGGTAATCATATTACTGAAAAGCTTTTGAACAAGATGTTTAATCAATGTCACCAGTCGACACCACAAATGTCTGGAACCTGAGTCCAGCTAGAATTCAAGTTGCTTTAGATTCTGTATACCTTTCATTCAAAAGATCAGATTTCATTTCAGCTTTTTGGCAAACTTTTTTTTTCCTGATAACAATATAATATATATATACATATATATATATGTTTTCAACAGTAATATAGTTATATTCCTATCTGTGGCTTGCAATATTGCATGAACTTCTGGTTCTAGTCAACTAGATTTCACCCTCGTACTGTTGGCTTTTCTTTGAAGTTGAATTATTTTCAAGTTTTGTTTAACTTAATTTTTTTTAAACGATTTTAAGAATGTATTTTTTTTTTATAAATATCAACTTAATACATTGATTTAAAGTTGATATTTAACATGACTATCAATAATGTAATCCTTAACTCTTTTCCTCACAATGTGAGTTTGGGGCAGTGACACAATAATTGGGGAAGCTCTCTTTTGCTAGTGATCACTGGTTCATATACAACACTAATAATTCTAGATTCTTCAATCTATGTAGAATTGACTTATTGCAGGGCATGAACAGTTTCCCTTAATTTTTGGGGCACTTGACCGACAAGAGTGCATGAACAGTTAGTGGATAAAGACCCTGTTGTACCAGCCAACCCCCATTATCACCACCCATTTGTTAATTAAAAAACAAAGTGTAAGTAACCCATTGGAGGCTAAACACCTCATTGCTCTAATGGGTAAAATCTGTGTCCATGACAGTGAAACACACAACAAAAGAAAAAAAACCCTCACCCAAAAGGATAAAGTCAAGCGCTTAGATAATTAAGGACTTTGCTTTTTCATAATAATGCATGATATCTACGAGTTTGGATTTTCGACCCTTGTTGGCAATAGACATCATAAATTTTTTCCGATTCGACCCTTGTTTTTTAAGTTGTGATCAAAGCATAAAATTTTTATATTAATTGACATCCCAATCTCATATTGGGAAGGGATTTATTATGATATATATATTTGAATTTATATTTGTAAGATATATTTTATGAGATAAAATTATAAATTTTTCAAATAAAAGTGAATAATATTTAATAAATTAAGTGTAGATTTTTACAAATAACATTAAAATAATTATTAGTGGAACAAGAGTTAAAGTGATAAATCATGAGAGTCGTTTCTAAAATTTGAATGAAACTAAATGTTATACAGTATGAGTTATCATTAGAATTTTAATGTTTGGTATAATTATGATTCTGTAGTTCTATGTATATTTTGTATTAAGCTTAACGATAATATTAATTTTTAATAAAGAGAGTTTATAATACTCTAATCTTATATTGGGATATTTTAAATATCTATTATAGTATATATATAAAAACTTAAACTCATACTTGTGAGATTTTTTTTTAAGATAAAATCATGAAACTTTAGTATTAAAAACATTCAATATCTTATAAGTTGGATATGACTTTCCATATTAATAATGTCTTAAATATAATTGTTGTTATCATCAAATTCAATTTGCATTATCATGTCGATATTTTAAAATGGTTATCTCAAATAATGATATATGATTAAGCCATGTTGAGTTTTCTTTTTTTTCCTTTGGACACGTAGCTTTGTGCTAATGGAGCTCTGATAGTGAAAACTCATGGTGAATTTCACTTTTATAACATAATGGTGTTGTGAGTCATCGATCTCGTGCATGAAAGTGGAGAACATGGCTTCATCATATTATCCATAAACTTATTTTTCTCTTCTTTTGGGATCGTAAGGACATGTCCGGATCTTGGTACTAATGCAAGTACCAACATTATTCGTAGCAAATACATTGTCATTTCGAATTTCCATGTTAATTCCTACATTATATGATCATGGGTTTTCGCAGTTGTCGGCAAGCTACATGTGTCGGTAAGAAAGGTTAACTTTTTTACAAAACATGAAGTCCTGTCACTTAACCTTATCATTCATGCCTCAAGTTGTTTCCCTATGTCAGCAATCTTTTAGGGCACACAAACATTTAAAAGATGTGTACTTATGGTTTCCCATGGATGGAAACTTTAATAGGGTTATGTTAATTCATCGAATTTCATCTCCTCATATCATTAATCACCAGTGATCTAATGACTTAATTGTATCCTTTTCTTGTAAAATGTCAAAGAAAAAAGTTTGAGATGGTATCGCGCGTTTAGATTATATTAGCGTTTAAATTATATTATGTGATAGGATAAGAGAAGATTAACGACTTTTTTAATAACTTCGATTTCACTTTAATTATTGTTATTATTATCCATTGTTTAAACTTTTTTTCCTGATTTTATCCAAATGTAGGAAAAAAAATAAAGACACAAGAAAAAAAATGATAGCTATAAACAAGAAATGATAACTTCAATTCCCATTAGAAATGATAAGAGATTTTTCATTTTACCACATTCACAAGCTCCACACCCATTTAACCTTCATTGCATCTTTAATTTAAACTCCAATTTTTTTTCCAAAGGCCCTTCAATTATTTCTGAATGTAGGGTTCAATGGAGTTTCTTTTGGTTCAATGCCACTTTTCTGACAAAAGTTGCCAATTAAATTAGGTAATTAATTTAAAATTTTCTTTTTCTTAAGCCGAAAAATGGAATACTAGAGAAATACTTCTGCAAGGTAGGGCAGCATGCAGGCAGTCAAAATTGAAAAGAAGTTGATGGTCTTAAACCCCATAATTGCTTCAATTGGGAGCTAAGCTTTCCTTCCTGTAGGCAATGCTAAAGGCAAAAAATTACAATGTAAAACCATGATTTCATTCGGAGGAAGAGAAATTCTTTATTAAATTAAAAAAAATTAAACATAATTATATAATCAAATATAATATTAAAAATTATGATATTGTAATTAAAATAGC